TTTATCATCCCAGGTACAGTGAGTCATATGATCATCTGAGTCAAATGGTCAAGACCAGTCCATTTCAGGTCAGTAATGCCTACGATACCTATCTTTATGCATTCTGCTTTTTTTTTGATGATTTCCAATTTTCCTAGGTTCATACTACACACATTCCACATTCTGATTATTTGTGGATGTTTGCATCTTTAAGCCATGTTCTCTTCTTTAAGCCATGCCCTATCAGGAAATGAAAGTCCTGAGAGCTTTACCCCATCCATGTCATCACAGTCAACTCAACTCTTTTTTTGCAAAGGGATTTTTCTAATTTTATTTTGTTGAGAGCATACGTAGTAAAACGTCGTTTCTACTTGTGTAATTTGGCAATATTGCTTACATTCTTCCACCTGTACAAGCATTTACACCCTCATTAACAACTCATTGACCCATAAAATCTCTACCTAATCTTTCAAATATGTATTGTAAATTTGATCCCATGTCGATTGGTGTTAAAGTAGCATCATGTTCAGGTAGGCAGGATGACTTTAAGAAGAACTTGGGGGATATTTTTGGGTTGAGGGCGATCAACTCAACTTTGAGAAGGCAACTAACTCATCTCAGTCATTTAGAGTGCTGTATGACCTGAGGGGTTCATCTTAGTACGAAATTTGACGATGTTCTGCAGCTCTGTATAAGGTTTTTCAGCGGCTAATTCCTCATAAGTGGACAGCCTATTCCTTCTTTTAGTCTGTTCTTAGTCTAGAAGCGCTGCTGAAACCTGTTTGCCTTAGGTGACCCTGTGGGTATTTGAAAGGGCAGTGACATAGTTTCCAGCATGCAGCATGCAAACCACCACAGTATGACAAACTGACAGAGAAGTGGTGGAGCACAACATGTGACTGTGACTAATGGAAACAGGGTACAATTCAGTGACAGTTAAATACAGCCTACTGAATGTAACTAATGTCACTAAATTGTACACTTGAAAACTGTTAAAATAGAACATTTTTCTTAGATATTTTAACACAATAAAATTAAAACCAACCAACAAGATAAGCAATTCACCCTAAGGAAAATTAAATAGTAGATATACTGCAGGGTGAACTCAAGCCTTTGTAGTTACTTCTTGGCACAGTGGTAGCGTCTTATGGAATTTACGCTGCTATTCCCATTTTGAATCAGAAGCCTTTGCTACTATTATATTTAATGGGGTACTTGCCAAGAGCTCCGATGGCACAGCGGTTATTCATTCGTTGGGCCGCTAACTGCAAGATCAGCAGCTCAAACCCACCAGGCAAACCGGGCTGTTTGCTCCCTGGTTAAAATTCACAGTCCGGGAAACCCTAAGGAGCAGTTTTATTCTGTCCTATAGTATATCACTAGGAATCAGAATCGATTCGATGGCACTGAGTGAGGGGGTTTCTCTTCTACATTAAAATTTTCCAAAAATTCCTCATACTCTGTGTTCTCTTATGTTTCCCAAGTCCCACCCACATCCATTCTTTCCTGCGAAGTTGTGGCTTTCAGAAGGAAATGTATCCCAACTTATTCTTTAGACAGATTTTAAACAGTGTTAGAATTGAAGTAAGGGGCCCTCATGCTACAGTGGTTAAATGCTGGGCTGCTAACCGAAAAGTCAGTGGTTCCAACCCACCGGCTGCTCCACAGAAGTAAGATCTGGCAGTGTGTTTCCAAAACGATCCCAGTCTCGGAAACCCTGTGGGGAAGTTCTCCCCTGGCCCACAGGGCTGCTCGGAGTCTGAATGGAACCACAACAAAGGGGTTCGCTTTGCCAGATTTGACCTAAGTTCTTATCACAGCTGCACTTGTATCATTTGGAACCGATTATTTATTCTAAGCTTTGATTTCTTCATCCGTGTGTAACACCCACTGCCCTGGTGGCATAGTGATTACGCATTGAACTGCTAACCAAAAGGTCAGCATTTTGAAACGACCAGCCTCTCCTAGGGAGAGAGACTAGCTTTCTACTCCTGCAAAGAGTTACAGTCTCTGAAACCCACAGGGGCGGTTCTACCCTGTCCTATAGGGTCGCTGTGCGTCAGAATCAACTCGCGAGAAGTTGACTCTCCCTTCACAAGGCACTTCTAAGTATGAGGAAATAATTAAGTGAAAGTGTTTAAATAGCAGGGGGATCTGGAAATGTGACCTTGGGCATCCTGAAACTGCTGACCTTGGGCATCTTGAAACTCCATGAACAATATTTCCAAGTTCCACTTGCCCTTCCTCTGATCAAGAAAGATACATGGATCCATTTCATTCACGGAAGAATAAAATAGCATGACTGGAGCTTTCAGAATAAGGGAAAATTTCAAGTTATAATGAAATAATCATTCTCTTCATTCAATCATAATATGAATTCCATGAAACATTTATTAAAACTAATAACCTGGGTTACTTTATACGATTCATCTATGAAACTCAGTATGTCAAAAAACAGCAAATGGCTTTATGATATTCAAACGGAATCTGGATAAAGGAATGTGGGAGGGTATTCAACTGACAGCCCTGTTAAAGTATCAAATGAATATTAATGTTATGAAAGTAGAGTGCAAATGAAAGATTTTTGAAATTAGAAGCTAATCATCTGAATTGGGCAGAAATTTTGTTTCTAACATAGATACGAGAATATTTTTCAAACACAAAAGTCAAGAGCTTAGTAAAGAGTGTCTGCTTTGAGCCTTGTGCTCTTTTAAAGAACTATCGACACTGGGACAGACCAAAGACAACGGCAACTCGAAAGGTTAGATGGGAAGCTCGGGCAGAGAGAGTTTATATACGTAAGGAAGAACCAATTCTGAAAACATGTAGCACCACTTGAAAAAAGTGTAATCATTAACTTGAGCATGTGGGGAAAGTGCTGTGTATATTTACCCCCCCCCAAAAAAAATTGTCTTTTAAAGTATCACAGCTGTAGAATGTGACATTTCCCCTGCCCGCTCCCCGTCATATCCTATGTACAGTGAGAGAACACGACAGTGTAATACTTTCTGTCATCAATTATTCGTGGAATTTGGTGGAAAGGGGGAAGAATTTGGAATCCATCTCCATGGGTTCCAACCCACTGCCCAGGAGCTGTTTCCTTGGCCCGGTGCGGGCGGCAATGCGGTCTGCTTTGCCCGCACGCAGAGTGGTTCGGAGGCTGCAAGGCTCTGTTGGGGAAAGACAGGTACAGATGCGACCGAGGGTCCTGTGCACGGAGCGACGCGGTCTGAGAGAGAAACCCAGCCCTTCGGGGTGACAGTTTGGTGACCCCAAAGAAAGGCAGCCCTCCTCACCTTGGGCCTTTTATCCCCTGCACTTGCGGGGAGGAGAGCGGACAGGCTGGGCGAGGGAAGGAATTGGAATCCGCGCTGTTTAGTCCTCGGTGCACAGTGCCGGGCCGGGCGGGAGCCGCGCAGCCA